TCCTGGATCTTTGAACCTCACAGGACTGGACACGGCTCCTGGAATTGACTGGGAACCATCTACATGGACGTGGGGCAGAGAGTCTTTGAACCTGGCTCACCTTACTCCATTCAGGCCCTGCTAGACATTGCATACCACTCTGAACGTCCCCTTATGGAAGGAATTGCATTAGGCACATGAATGTTACAAAGAATCTGACATATTGCATATTCTTGAAAATTCGATCTGGTTGAGCATGAGAAAAGAAAACAACTTTTATGTGAGGAATGCAAGTCCTTTTACTGATCAGGCCCATGAAACATTAAAAGGACACCCCAGTCATACTCGACACCCCCACTTTGCGCTGTGTACTTATTTCTTGGAACTGCTTGTTGTTAACCTAATCATGCTGCACTGGACACACTACAACCCACACCCTACAGCTTAACAATATACAGCCAATCGCTAATCAAATCTGTCACCTGTAAACCATTGAGAATTCCTGGCAGAACTTTATGTCAGTTCACTCCTTGTCCTCATATTTGCCTTTAGAAACCCAGTTGCAACAGCTGCTAATCCAAGTGTCTATTCAGGGCAACTTGAATCCGTGCTCCTGGATTGCCTCAAGCAAGCTTGGTCCAAATGAACTCTCTACTTATATTAATTTTGCGTCAGCTTTTTCCTTTTAGGTCGACAATCGGAAAATGGGGTTACACATTTAGAGACACGGACCCACAGTGACTGCCATTTCCAGATCAGTGCCTCTTTGCTAGATAGTACCAGGGAGAGAATACTCACAGTGCCTGACTCTTGATCAGAACTTCGGCCCTGTGGGACCTTGAGAACACTGACATACGTCTCCAGGTCTTAGCTTTCCCCTTTTAGAAAGTGGGGATATTAGTGCCTCTGGACTCCCAGGGCTTCTAGAACCTTTACAGCATCACATCCTGCTCAGGGAGAGATGTAAGTCAGTCTCACTCTCTGGCTCAACGCCTACCTATAAGACAGAACTACAGAGGGTGAATCAACAGCTGTTCACTGAATGAAGCCTTATTGAAAGTGACTTTTCTCTGTGATAGATTAGACCAGGGGTCCTCAAGCCCTGGGCCATAAACCAGAACCAGTACTGGTCCGTGGCTTCTTAGGAACTGGAACAAACAGTAGAAGGTGAACAGCGGGTGAGCAAGCGAAGCTTCGTCTGTTCTTACAGACAATCCTCGTCGCTCACATTACTGCCTAAGCTCCGCCTCTTATCAGATCAACTTCACGATTAGATTCTCACAGAAGTACAAACCCTATTGTAAACTGTGCATGTGAAGGATCTAGGCTGCACACTCCTTATGAGAATCTAATGCCTGATGATCTGTCATTGTCTTTAATCACCTCCAGATGACACCACCTAGTTGCAGGAAAACAAGCTCAGGGCTCCCACTGACTTTAGTTGCATAATTATTATACATCACAATGTAACAATAATAGAAATCAAGTGCACAATAAATGTGCGTGCTTAAATCACCCTAAAACCACCCCTCCCCAAGCCCCCAGTCCCTGAATGCCAAAAACGTTGGGGACCGCTGGCTTAGACTACTGTGTTTTGCCTACTTCAAGTCAAAGAGGCTGGAAAGATGGTTATTATGAAGGACAGGGGCTTAGGGTGCAGAAATTATGAGGCTGGTGGTTTGGTCTGCAGAGGAGAGGCAGCAGCTGCAGACTGTGTCCTAGAGGTTTAGAAGGACCGTGAACAGGGCACAATGTGTGTCAGGAATGCCTTATTCTAATTGCTGCTGCTTCCTTCCCCCATCCTGCCCATGCACTGCCAGGCACTGGAGCTGCCCAACACCAACACCTTCCTGCTTTCAGAGCTGTGCGCAAGGCCAGTTCTTCCAACTCCTTTCCTCTCAGAAGCCAGAAGATTTGGTAATTTGCCCATCCCTGAGATGCACATCGGTTAAAGTTTCTTAATCCCTGAGAAGAGACGCTTTCAGCTTTTGCTCAGGATGAAATGTCAAAGGTGGTTTGTAAACAGTGCAAACCGGGCAGCAGATGTCAGGGTCTTAGGTACCACCTCAAAAGGAAGTTGCTTAAAGGAACTAAACTGGAGGGAGCCCTTGAGATTTTGGAACATTGGTGCCTCTGGTAGGAATGCTACTTTATTATTTATTTATTTATTTATTTATTATTTTTGAGACGGAGTCTCACTCTGTCACCCAGGCTGGAGTGTAGTGGCACCGTCTCGGCTCATTGCAACCTCCATCTCCTGGGTTCAAGCGATTCTCCTGTCTCGGCCTCCCAAGAAGCTGAGATTAGACATGTGTCACCACGCCTGGCTGGTTTTTGTATTTTTAGTAGAGACAGGGTTTTACCATATTGGCCAGGCTGATCTCAAACTTCTGACCTCAGTTAATCCACCTGCCTTGGCCTCCCCAAGTACTGGAATTACAGGCGTGAGCCACCGTGCCCGGCCGGAATGCTGCTTTAGATGTCTTTAGATTTAGATGTCTTTAGATTTTCCCACGTGACCAGCACTAAGACTCTTTAAGTATGTAAGATGCCGGGTTGGGGCCAGCATAAAAGAAAAGCTGGCAGGGTGGGATCCCACTTCACTTTGAGACAGAAAAAGAAGGGGTAGGATAACCACAAAGAGGCAGATGGAGACCTGGGTCTCTACGGCCTGTAACAAGGGATTGGAAAGGAGTCTCAGAGTAAGAAGAGATTCTCAGGCTGTCCTGTGTGGGCTTTCCAGACAGCTGTCCAGGTAAGGAAAACCACTGCCAGCCTATTCCCCTCCTCTCTCCCACCAAACAGCAAGCTCCTTGAAGGCAAAGAGTTTGTACTTAACCTGAAATCCAGTTCACACTGATTCACACATTAAAAGTGAAAGACCAAATTCAGAAACCGCCTGCCCTTGTAACTCCTGCCCCTCTTCAGGTAACATTAAATATGAGTTCAAGAAATAGTGACTCAAGCACAGTCCCTTGCCGCAGCTTTCCCTTCTGTTAGACACAGCGCCTGGTAAATCAAGAAAAACTTAACCATTTACCCACGAAACTAAACACAATCCCTTATTATACAATTAACGAAAGCACAATTGTATGTAATCCAATTATACAAGACTACAATTACACAAAAGTAATGATGCGGTGTATATGGCAATGACTTTCATGCAATCAAAAATAATGAGAGCTTGCTTGATTAAAAATTAAGGTAGCATTAGAGACCCCTATTGATAAATATTCCCTGTATTGATCAACACTTTGGAAGAGGCTGCACTGGCTGATGAAGTAGGATGCTTCTCCCACGCCATTACTAAACACTATTGGTCTGGCAACCATTGCCTGCAATAACTTTTATTCTCCGAGCGCTAAACTAGCACATTTTAATGAAGCACATATTTTATTACCACTTTTTCAGCCGGTCAAATAGAAAAAAAAATAAAGCAGAAGAGACAGAAAATCTGCATGATTTGTTGATGATCCCATGCATAGCGATGTTAACGGAGAAATGTGTGGAAAGTTTCACCAAGTTATGCAGCTCATTTCAGCGTTAGCAGAGACTATGTACTGCATGGCCGATTTCTGTGCCCCTCAGTAGAGTCACCTGCTACTACTCATTACTCCTCTCCTGAACTGGGCAATCACCTGCCTAGTTGTAGGCAAGCTCTCTTCCAATCCACCTTTCTCACTTCTTCTTGAGTACTCTTTCTGCTAGGAAAAGCTAGCCACCTTCCTCCATGGTTCTCACCAAGAGCATGAAACCAAACCCCACTGGTACACAAAGTTCTTCATGACTGGTCCTGCCCCTACATCTCTGGACATATTTACAGCAGGTGCACCATCCACAGTGACCCACCACCCCTACTGAGCTATATATTATTTAATCTAAGACACCACTAATTGTAAGATATACCATTATTTTATATGCCACTATGAAAAATAGATATTGCCAACTCAACTATTAGAGATTTCAAATGCCAAAAAAGCATTTTGAGTTGATGAAATACTTGCAAGCCATGCTTTCTCCTGCTTCTACGCCAACCTCCCTTCCCCTCTCAACCTCAGCCTAGCCTGCCAGTGTCTTCTCCTTTAAGATTCAACTCAGCACTACCTTCTGAAACCTTCTTGGACTCATTCTCTGGGGTCAGACTAAGTTGCTGCTGCTGTGTGTCTGACAAATAAGGGTGCACTTCTTGGTCATGTATCTCACTTTATTGTAATGGCTAATCTATTCCCTGATGAAACATAAGCAGAGACCCTGTCTCATCAACACACAGGCAAGCACTGAACAGATATTATTCGCCCATTCTATAAATGATATTTTGACAAGGGTGAGAAGAACTGGAAGAATGAAGGAGGTAGGCTCTGGAGAGGAAAGAAGAAGAACATGGTAAGCTTTGATGTAAATTCAGAATCCATCCTCTTTGGTTTTCTGCAGTGTGTCTTTGCATTTACAAACTTCTATTATAAGGAGAGCAAGATCCCAGGAGAAATGGAGAGCTAAAGTGAGTTTTTCTGATCTCCTCTGGGTCAGATAAGCAGTGGTAGGGGCAGTAAGACCAAAAAACAGCCAAACCCAGGAGTAGTTGTGTGTTATTGGGCATTCGTGAACCTCTTTTGCAGACTTCCCAGATGGTCCGATGCTCATCTGTCTGTGTTAGAAAGGACACCCACAGCAGTGAAAAATGAAATGGTTTAGGAGAGAAGTAATTCCTTCCTCCTTTTTGCTTTAACTTCAAAGTAATCAAATGTTGTTTATGCATAAAATTTTAATCCTTTCACAAATTTGTATTTTGATTTAATTTGCATATCCCATTTGCTGCAAGTCAACATGAAGAGAGACTCAACTAATTTAAACCATTTTTCTCTGGGCCTGAAATCCTTTCAGAAATATTTTCCATTAGGCAACTCAATTATGTCTAATGTGGCTAATGTCGGTGGATTAGAATTTTGCTTAAAGAAATTCATATTTAGAACAGTGAGAATGGGAAGGGGGTGGGAGAACAGAGGAGAAGAGACAATAATTACCTGTCTTTGATGCTACACAGATCAATGTGTAAATCACTAAAATTCCCCAGGGAACCTTGCTGAACTGAAATGAGGTCCTTGGGCTGGTTATCAATAAAGATGAGCCTCATGCAGCCTTGGAAAGCCTTAATGGGATTTAAACATTGGGAATCGGTGAGATTGTCGGGGCACCCTGTGGGACAGAGAAAAAAGATGAAGAAGAATGCTGAAATGATCCGTCATTGCTTTGGCGACCTATTGATGGAAGACCTTGAGGTCTAATTATTTTGGTGCTTTCTCATTCACATCAGTGCACACCCTTTTTGTTGTAAATCCTAGCATTCTCAGGGAGGGGACAGAATTGGTACAAAACAGGGCATACTCCATCACTGTAGAGAAAATAATAAGTATGGCAAAGGGAATATCAATACTGTAACAGGTGTCTCCTTCTTACTTTTTTTTTTCCTTGGGGTAAGCTATTTTCTATTCTTTCATATGGCATCCTTCACTCATCCCAAGGAAGAAACGTATTATAGCTACTTCAGAATTTTGGTTCTGTCTTGAAATACATATATTTTCTGAATTACGCTTTCAAAGGAAATTATGCTTTGGGTAGGGATGGTTGGGTAGGGATGGCAGCAGAGGAATTGTCCGGTTAATTGTTAGCATTAACAGGCTTAGTTCCTGAGAAAGGTACACACAGGAGCGCAACTGGAATTTTGACGTGATGTGCAAAGCAAAATCAGACATTTTGCTGGTTTTAGAAGGAACTAAGGGTTTAAATGCATGTCATTTTAGGGCTGTAATAGCATATGGGAAAGGTTAACACTATACCTTTTTAAAGGGTGTTCTGAAAAAAAAATTACACTGATTTAGTGTAGCTTGCAACCAGGGCATATCTACTTCTCATTAAGATGGGTATAGAGCCTTTCAGGGATATGAGTGCTCGTGCTCCTTACAAACTCCATCCCAATGGCTTTAATAGGTTCAGAGCATATGGGAATGCAAGCTTGAAACCATGGTAATAACCCATAAATAACTGGGAATTATTTCAGCCATCTTTAATAGACAGTCACTGCTGGGCTGAAGCCCAGCAGCTGGTTAACAGCTCACAGGCACACTATAAAACGAAGAGAGATGCTACAACTTCTAATTGAAGCTGTAGAGAGAATTTATGTAAGTTGACTATTATTACTGAAACTCATTTTTCACCTTCCTTAAGTTTACAGTCTACGTGTGGGGCGTTTGTTTAAACACTGTTCAAATCACTGATAAATCTTCACGTTCTAAACCCAGGGTCCCTTAAAACTTGCCTCTAAGAATAGTCCTTCAACTGAGGCAGGAGAGCCATTTTGTCTCTGAGGCATGTCAGATGCTTATTGTATCAGGATTAGTAACAAACATTTCCCTCAGGAATAAATTCAAGATAGCGTTTTTCCCTCTGATGCTGAAACATTGCATAAGATGCACAATTATTCGGTCTGTGAGGTTATCTTTGTGGACCCCAACACCCTTGTTCTACGATCTTTGTAATACATTTGTTCCAATCTCTGTTTTCACTGGTGGGCTGTGGGAACACAGATCTGGATTTGAATTCATGAGCTCTATGGCGTTGCACAAATTCTTTCATCTCAGCAAACACCAGTTTTATTATCTATTAAGTGGGGGTATTATGTACTGCACAAGGTTTCTGCATGAATTAAATGAGGTAAGTCATAAAACTTTTGCAGAGACTGGACGTGTATTCCCTTCCTAAAGGAATTTGTTAAGCCATGCACAGGGGGAGGAGATTTGAGGTAAAGGTCACAGGCCCTTCCTCACCCTAAAATCAAGCCACAAAGATATTGCTTCCCTCCTAGGAGATGTTGAGATATACACTGCACCTTTGCAAAATCCCTTTTGCATTTTAAAGCTTTAACCACATTCCATTGGTATGAGAGAAGTGACCTGTAAATTCTGTTTAAGAGACTATGCATAATTTTATACAATACTTCTCTTCAATTTACTAATAGGAAAAGAATAAGGAAACTGTAGACCAGACCCTGACTTATATCTAAAGGAGGTGGAGCCAGTTTCCCCATCCCCTGCCATGTGGCACACTCTGTGCTATACGTTTAAACCTTGGTCGTACTTAACTTTTCCTGAAATTTTGGAGGTGAACTTATTTCCCCATGTTTCAGATTAGGAAGTTTAGGGACTATAAGTATCTTTCTCAAGGTCAGACAGCTATTGAGGTTACATCATTTTCAGAGATTGTTTCTATAATACAAACAACTAACTATGAAACTAGATATTAATTTTTATTGAAAAATACTTTTGAAAGACTAAATACATACATATATACGCATTTATAAAAATTCAGTAGATGCCTAATTATATGTTTTTCTTCACCATCAGCTTGCCCTTGTGTTTCTGTCATTGGAAAGGTTCCCAGGATTCACTTAACATCAGAGAAGGCAGAATCTGAACAATCTGAACTGGCTTCTACACATGGAGTTACAAGTTCATGGGCCTCCTAGTTCCACCTCATTCCTGGCTCTCTGTGGGCATGATCTCTAGGAATGTGGGGAAGGAGGGGACAGGGGACTAAGAGAGGAAAGTGGCAGAGGAGGGACCCAGGTGCTGAGCATGCTGGTTGTGCCTTTCCACCTGGATTTTGCCTCTTGCAGGTACTGCTGACTCTTGATACACTTTCTCCAAGTTTCGAACTGAGTTTCTCCTTTCCCATGTGATCACAGGGCTTGGCATGGCTACAAAAATCTCCTTTGGATGTGTTATATAACACCAGCTCTTGTAGCTAAAGTTCTTTTCTTCCTCAGCACTGACCTAGATAATTTATATTTGCACACAGCTGTGAGAGATTTTGCTTCTCACTATTTTGAGATTGAGGATGTGTGTGTGTATGTTGGGCGGGGGGGATAATTGTCTAATTGACCAAGCCAGAACCACCATAGCGAAATAATTGCCCACTTCATTTTCCCTCCCTTGTTTATTTTCCCTCTTAAAGGCTGGAGAATTTACCTCCAAAGTAGTAGCTATTTCCAGAATAAATCTGCACCCAAGTGCTGTCAGGAGCTGGGGGTGCTGCTTCATTATCCAGAGTGAGCGTGATGCGGTTCCTCCTGGCGTTGATGTTAACTGAGTGCCACAAGCCATCATTCAAGTTGCTGCCTGCAAGAGAAACAAGAGAGCAAGCCTAGAGATGATGGGTCCGGAAGGCCTGGAGAAAGGGGGTTCATTTCCCAGCCTGCTGCCGTCCATGCCCTTCTCAGAGCAAACCCACTCCTCACTCGGCTGGATACAAGCCCTTGGAAGGTTCATAAAAAGCATTGTTCTTCCTCTTTGTACCACTTCATTCTAATCCCTTTCTTTTTGAAAAAAGATGGCTAAACTGCTTCTGATATGTTTTGTTTAAAAACAAAAGGGAAAAATACAAAATGTTGTACATACCACAACCAAAGTTATGTCACATATTCTGATCTGTTGTTGTATAAATGCAGAGGAAAAAAACAGAAAAATAAAAGAACTCAAAATATTACCAGCAATTTTATCTGAGTGGTAGAGTTACGGGCAATTTTAGTTTTCTCATACTTTCCTACAAACAATTTTAGGAAAAAGTGAGCTATTTTTAAAGTAGATGAGGAAAGCTGGATTCCAATGATGTACCAGGCAGAGGCAGCCTCCTGTTGGAGAGAGGTAACATACTAATCCAATTGCAGCGTTTTTCATTCTAAATTAGGTGACATTGTCTAAGTTACTCACCTTCATTAAGCTCTGATTTTATCATCTGTAAATATTATAATTCCTGCCCCTTATCACTGTCAAAGGGATCGAATGAAATGAGGCATGACTGTCTCTAAAGGCACTGGAAGAAAGGTGGGTGGTTTTGTAAAGTTCTTTTGTCTCCTATTCCATTGCTCCAGCTGTCTTTGGTGTACCCTGTGCTGCTGACCTACTTTACTGAGGAAACTGTATTGGGAACTAGTCATGAGGTTTCAACTATTTCCTTTAAAGACTTTATCATCTATGAAGACTCTGTGTCCTGTTGGTGCGAAGTGCTTGCTGAAGAAAATAAAGGCATATTAACTGATTGGTTACAAAGACTTTCTGTGGCAAGAGCACATAGCCACACAATTCTAAATTCTAAACAGTCATTTATTGTGCCCTGTTACATGTTGAGTTGTCTTTCCTCTCATTGTGTCAGTTTCCTCACTTGCAAAGAGGACAATGACTGTACTTAACAGGCCATTGTGGGGATAACACCAGTTAGTCCAGCAGGTAATGCAGAATAGTTCATTTCAATCATACGTTGGCAGTCATGTTAGCTTAAAAAATGAACAGAGCGACAAATACGAAATGGTCTTTGGCATTAGAGGGTATGGATATTAATATCACATGATCTCTACCCTAGGGTAGTCCATTGTTAAGAGGCAGAGAGATATGCAAGGAAGATTAAAATAACGTCTTTTGAGTTGAGGCTAGTGGGGTAGACAGAGAAGTAAGCAAACAACACCACCTTTTGCAATTCTGGGTGGAACAGCAACATATGAGCAGAGAAGAAAGAAAGTCTAACTAATTCCATGAGAGGATCCCAAGAATGTTTCACAGAAGTGGGTGACAGTTAAGGGGAGTTGTGGAAAATGAGCAAGAGCTTGTGATTCTGGGAGCAAGGGTTCCAGGAGACACAGAGCCTGTATAAAGAAACAAAGGTCTGGACTGAGAAGCAGGAGATGCCAATATGAAGGGAGCTGGAAAGAGGATCCAATCTCCCAGGGGTCTCACGTGCCAGGCTCAGGAGGACTTTAAACAATATCCTTTGACAAATGATTCTGAAGAGCACTTTTCCCAAACCAATTCCATCAGCATCTCTGGGCATGGGCCCTAAGCATCTACATTTTTTAAAAAGCTCCTTGGGTGGTTCTAATGTGCAGCCAAAGATGAAAATTACAGCTTTAGCACATGGGAGTCCATGAGGGCTCTCTAGCATGGTAATATCAGGGTTGGAGATGTTTATTCAAAGAATCAGCTAGCACAAGAGCCAATGGTAGCAGCTGGGAGGGGTCAAGGCTGGAGGCAGAACTCACAGGTCCTATTGCTTGCAGAGTCCCTGGAGGCAGAATGAGAGGATCTCACCTAAAGTAGCAGCAGTGAAAATGCAAAGCAAGTGATGGATTTAGAGCTATTTCTGCAGGTAAAACAGACCTGCCTTGGTAGAGCCTACTGGAGCAGCCCCAAAGCAGCCAGCTGGGAAGAAAACACTGAGGATCACCACAGAGGTGTGGCAGCCCCTCAGAGTGGCAAGTGAAGATCTGGTGCCCCTGAGCTCCCAGATGGCTGGTGCCCTTGAGCTCCCAGGCTGCCCTGGGAGAAGCACAGCACCAGGCTTGGAGCCCAGCTGTATTTGCACCTGGGCAGCTGTGACCCATCTGCTTAGAGCATCCCAGATATAGGACACCCAATGTGTTTTCAGCCAGATCTCTCAAAGTTAGTCTCCACTGCAACCCTGAACATCTGCTTGGGGTGAAGAAGAGAACCCAGAGGCTTCTCAGCCTGGTGGCCCCACTTCCTCCCAAAGTTGTCCTCAGACAAGACCAGGGTTTGGGTCCTGGACACAGGGATTCTGCTAATGAGACAGAGAATCTGTCAGGTGTTTCTTGGTGATGAACATTTGACTTCTTTCAGGGGTATTTGGGGAAGACAGTCAACTGTAAGTCCTTTTTAAACATGTTCATTTGCATACTCATTTGAATATATCTGCATAACATATGGGACTGTATCTGCAGGTAGACTCTAGACTGGAAGGGCGTTAGTAACTAGTTCAGAATAAAAGTTCTAAATACTCCCTAAAGGCCAAGCACCCTGCTAGGCATCAGGGCTACAGTAGAGAAGAATGTATTTATAGAGGCTACAGTGAGTGTCCCCTCCAATTAGTTATCTATCATCTATTCATGTTACAGATGGCACTGGCCTGAGAGGAGAGGTCTGCTCAATGGGTGTCTGTAGGATCATCTGTTCTGATTGTGGGTCTTGTCCTCTCCCCACATCGCCATCCATTTCTCTCTTTCAAGTTTTTACATAATGAGGGTTTGCTTGGTTGGTTGTTTTCTTCTTCTTCTTTTTCTTTTTTTTTTGGTCTGCCTTTTCTTTGATTTGGCCTTTTTCTACATGGTCCCCAGTCCCTGCAGGGGGAGCCTGGGTGAAAAGTTTAGCTCTGCGGAGGAAAATTATTAGAACAATAGTTCTCGATGCAGGTATTGCCTGGGGAGCTTTTGAAAATACAGAACCTGGGGATCACTCCAGGTTAATTAAGTCAGATTTCTGGGGATTATCCCAGGACTTGGAATTATGTTGTGCAGCCAGGGTCGGGAGCCACATCATTGGAGGTGTCAGAAGAGAAAGGAAAGAAGCTGGGAAATTGGAACTAGCCCAGGAGAGCTGCTCGGGCACGGGTTCCAAGATAAGTGAAGTGGTACATCCCCAGCTAAAAATCTCCACTTTCAACTGGTCCTCGTTTTCACTTCATTCTGTTAATAGATCCAAATTAATATCCCTAGAGACTCTCCGACATTTTGTTACTAAGAATACTCTCTTAAAGGTAAAAGTGGAAGTGCTATTAACTATTCAACAATTAGGAAGAAATCACCTTATCCGACTGCTTTTTTCCCAAACCTCCTTGAGATAAATAGCTTTGAAAGAACAGACATGTCCAATGAGGAGAACAGGAAAGCAACACCTTTTAGGCCAAGAATGTCTTGATGGGGGGAAAAGAAATGCTTTTAGGGGAGAAGAGCAGGATATTGAGGGCCAATATGGGGCACTAAGCACCCCCATGATTTAGGAACTGAGGCCTAAAAGATGGGATTTGGGTTCCAGAAACAGATGAGGACAAACATACAATTTCTGAACTTTAAAGACAGGTCGGGTATTATTTGCCATCTCCCAGACTAATAAAGGATAAAAACTGATTATACTCAATCTCAATGAGAATAGAGGGAAATAGTCAATTTTATATGTTGTTTTCAGCCACTTAAATTTGCACATTCTTTCTGGGAGGCAATACACCAGTAAGCATCAAAAATCCCAAGAATGTCATACCTCATTTCCTGTGAATTTTATTCTGAAGAATTATTTCTAAAATAGTAACAGAGCTGTAGCCAAGATTTATGGTGAAGATAGTTCATGACACCATTATTTACAATAGCAAAAATTCACTGCTACCCCTATTTCCAATAGTAGCAGGCTAGGTAAAGCAAACATGGTTTATTCCTAATATGGTATATAACGTAGTCAATAAACATCACAATGTCCAAGAATGCTACTGATATCTTGATAAGAGAGAAGTTCTTAATAAATAGTACGTGCTGCATGATTCCCATTTTGTTAAAAACTAACACCAAGAAAAACACTGCAATAATGTAGACTGACAGAATCACAGATTATTTTTGTTTTTTTTTTCTTTTATGTTATACCGGAATTTTCAATGTTTTTTAATGTACATTTTTTATAATCTTAAAAAACCTGACAAACTGTTCAAACTGAAATAAAAGACAGAAAACTTTTTTGTCCTCTTCACTTTTGTTCTCATGGCTTCTCTTAGGCTCTGGAATTCAGCCTAGGGCATCAGTATAAAGGGTTCCTTATAGAGAGAGAGAGTTAAATAGGCTGCCCTGTGCTTTCCTAGGAATCAAATAAAGACTTGGAAGATTTTCTCCATAGAGAAAAAAAGAATGACAGTTTTCATCCTTGCTACTGAACTTGCAAATGAACCTTTGAAATACCCCAATTGTAAAAATAGCTAATAATACATCACACTACCAGTAACAAATGCCTACAATGTGCCAGGCACTTTAAATAATATAATTCCTAATTCTTACAATAGTCCTGGAGGTCAAGTTGATTGCCCTCATGTAATAGATGTAACAGAGAAAAGTGGAGAGGCTGCCCAGGGCCCCATGGCTGCTCAGAGGCAGAGCCAGCGTTCAAAGGGAAGTGTGGGTACTGGGGCTGAGCTCCTTTTGCTCATCATGCTGGCAACTCCAGCCAGCCCTGCCCTGCTCCTGCCATCTCTTTGATGACCAAAAAGCTCTGCAAAGTTTTATGTTCTGCTACTGAATTCTACTTTGCTTTTATTTTTATTTTATTTTTTTTGGTAACAGATTTATTGAGGTAAA